TATGAATCCACCAGATAGTAATACTATTTCTCTATCTAACCAAATAGTACATGTAATCTTCAACTTACAAATATTCATTTAGTGACTGTTCAAAATTACAATAACACTGACAAAAGTGACCTATAACCATTTTTCACACTTAAAACTATTGCAGCATCCACATGGTTAGATGATCAAAATTCAGACGCTTGGCAACTGACTCAATTTATGACTATTGTAGTATCCCAGGATCATGTGATCACCTTTTGTGACCTTCTGATTAGCAAAGTCAATGGGAAAGATTCACTTAACAACCCTGTGACTAACTTAACAACTGCAGTGATTCTCTTAATAACTGTGAAAAAGTTGTAAAATGGGGCAAAAGTTACTTAACAATTGCCTCTCTTAACAATGGAAATTTTGGGATCAGTTCTGGTTGTAAATAGAAGACTACCTGTATGTATGTTGTGCTCTACTTTGCCTTAATGAAGTCCAAGTATATTATGCCCAGAGCATTTCGCTTACCCATTAATTTAGTAACTTTGTTTTTGACAAACTTCTAATAACTTTGCTTGCTTCTAGGACGGTAATTGCAGATCCATTGCTGATTGGTCTGTAGTTTCTTGGATCTATTTTTTTTCCTTTTTTTGAAGAACAGAAATCTCATCAGCTCTTTTCCAGTCCCCTGGTGGTTCCTCAATGGTCGAGGATCTTTGAAAGAGATGGATCAGTTGATTCCAAAATCATATCTGCCAGCTTTTCAGAACTCTGGGATATAATCTACTCAGTCCTGATGATTTGAACTCATCAAGAGTGGATAGGTATTGTCTTATTATATCGTTGCCTATTTTGATTTGTATTCCTAATCTGTCTTTTCTGGTACTACTTTTGATAAATTGGACTATTTTTTTCTCTTTTGTTTGTAGACAGATGCAAAGAACGAATTCCGGTTCCACTTTCCATCTACTGCCCATCACCTTCTTGCCATCTTCTCCCATTAGTGGATCAATTGTTTCCCTGACTTCTTTGTTTTTTACATGTTGCAAGAAGCTTTTTTATTATTGTTGTTATTGACATTGCAAGTTTTAATCAAATCTGAGCCTTAGTTTTCCTGACTTATCTTTGAAGAATCAGGCTATTAGCTGATATTCGGTCTTAGTTACGTGCTCCTGCTTCCATTTTTTATGTTTGGCCTTTGTCTTTATCATAGAGTTATTTATGCAGCCATGTCTTCTGGGATCTCTTATTTTTCTTTCTTTTTTAGTATTGTGCTTAGATTGGACTTTTATAATATGTTTTTCAGAATTTCCCATTCTTGGATTGTTTTCCCATTAAGGATTTCTATCCATATAATCTTTCCAAGTTTTTTCTAAATTTGTTGAAATCCGCTGTTTTAAGGTCCAAGTCACTAGTTTGACTTTGTTCTTCCATGTTTATCCTCCCGTTATGTTGAATTCCAATAACACATGGTTACTCTCAACAAAGTTCCTGTAATCAATCCCTTTTATCATTGCATTTTTGTTAGGGAGAATTAAGTCCAGTACAGCTGACCCTGTAGTTCCCTTCTTTACTTTTTGAGAAACATAGGTCTGCTAGGTTCCTCGGGATCCTGTTTGATCTCCCACTAGGTGCAGAATTTGTCTCCAAGTTGATGTCAGGATAAAGTCCGCCATTACTATTGTGTGCTTTCTGCACGTCTTTAAATAACTGGTTAGCCAAAAATTCATCTATTTCCTCTGATTGGTTGGGTGGTCTGTAACATACCAATGGCAATGTCATTTTTGTTTCCTTTCATATTAACCTAAATGTATTCAAGAAGTTTTTCATTATTGTTTTGTTGAATTTCTATAGGTGTAATTTTTTTATATATTGTGCAACTCCACCTCTTCTAATATTACAGAGGTGTCAAACTGCCGCCCACAGGCCGGACTTGTCACGCACAAGCCACGCCCACCCCATTGCCAGCAATGGCAAAACTGTCCCAATATGTTGTGCGACATCATGTGACATCGCGAGTTTGACATTTCTGTTTTATTTTATTTTTTTAAATAATCTGAACCCTTCTAACTGCATGTTCCAGTCGTGGGTTTCAACCTACTAAATTTCAGTAATGGCAAAAATGTTATATCTGCCCTTATGTACTAAGACTTCAAGTTCACCCTGTTTGTTCCTCATACTCCTCCTAAATTAGATGCAGGAAGCAAATGCAGGGTCACTAAAAAAGGACTCAAATCCCTATATACTAACACAAGGCATTTGAGTCCTTTTTAGTGACCTGTGTTTACTTCCTACATATCCTATTTTATATTTAAGTTCCCCCTCTTTCTTATTATTGGTTGATTACCCTTTGATTTATAGTAGGAATTAGCTTCTGAAAATTTGTCTCCCTCCCCCTTCAGTTTTAGTTTAAAGTTCTTTGGATAAAGCTAGCCACTTGGTTTCCAGACATTTTCTACACTTTTTGTGAGGTGAAACCCATCCCCTGCCAAAAGAACTTCATGTAGGTATTAAAGATAATGTACTAAGAATACAAAATTTTCTCATTGGCTCCATCTCCTAAACCAGTGGTTAACTTCAAAGCATCTACATTTCTTCATTGGTTAATTATCTTTTGTTGGGCTTCATGGTTAGCTGCTCATGGTCCCTTGACATTATTTTAGGCTCCTTGTTATCGCTGCTCCTTGTATATCATTTGTCTTTATATGGAAGAGAAGAAAAGGATAATAATCTGTAGATTTAATTATTTTAGCAAGTCCCTCAGTCTCATTTTTGATATTTGGTCCTAGTAGACCTGGAAGAACGTTGTCCATGGGGTCGCGATGGGTCGGACACGACTTCGCAATTAACAACAACAACAACAGACAGCAAATCTCCCTTGTTAAATTATCTGGTTTATAAACTGCTGATTCAGTTCCCCTGAGCAGTGAATCTCCTATTACCAATGCACACCATTTTTCTTAAGGAAGCCTGATCTACTTTTTTCTGCAATTAGTACACTTGATGATGTCCCTTCTCAAGATGATGTCTGCACATTTTCAACTAAAGGGAGGTTATGAAATTGATTATTTAACTCCAGCAGGGCTGGACTAGATTGAACTGGGTTTAGTTTCTTTTTTCTTCTATGAATAACATGCCACCATCAGTCTATCTTTAAAAGTTCATTTTTTATGTTAGTTAATTTTTCCTTACTTTGTTCACTTTGTTGCAGTCTTCTTCTTTTAATTGGTATTTCATGTTTTATTGTTTGAGGCTTAAAATGGCTGGAGTTGTCTCAAGATCCTTTGATTTTTCCTATAGACTTTTAATTTTTTTCCTCAAGTTTTTCAGTTAGTTTGCATTTGATACAAATATAATTTGGGTCCTCTACGGGCCTGAGTACATATAAGGTAGAGATTTTAATTTAAAACATTGGATTTTTTCCACAACTATATGTTTTTCTATGCATTTTTAAATGTGTAATTGAAGATTTTAAAAGGATTTTTCCTTTTTTGTTTAAAATTAAAAATTTATATAGATATAAAAAGTAAAATTTATATAAAAATTTAAGAATTAAAAATTATAAAAATAGAAGTTTAGACTTTTAAAAAAAATAAATTTATATAAAATTTTAAAAATTATAAAAGCCATGTTTTAAAATTTATATATAAAATTTATATACACTTTATTTACAAGTTATATAAAGTTAAAAATTATAAATTTCAAGTCAACTAATTTTTTTCAGTTTAACTAAAATTAGTTAGTTTTATAGAAGGCTGGCCATATAGAGGATTTTAATCTTTTGAATTAAATGTTGGGAGTTATACTGATTTTACCTCATGGCTAATGCTGAAATTCCTTAATTCTTCCACACATGCTTGCTACCATTCTCAGTTGTTGGTCATGCTATTTCTATTGATTCCCTGAATATTCTGATCCAGGGAAAGTTAGGCTTGTCTTTAGAAAAGACTGGTCCAATGCTGCCTGTTTTACCTTTGGTGGGCTCACCCCCCCCCCAATTCCATGCATTTGGTGATCCCACTACTGCTGCACTGCTGCTCTAGTGGGCTATTGCAGCACTACTGACTCTGTACCACTTCCCTGACTCTGTGCCACTTCAGGTGCTCCCCAGCAGCTGTGCCACTGCTCTGCTGGGCTGCTATTCTGCTGAACCAATATCTGCTGCTCGCACATGCCACTTTAGGTGTTCACCTTTAACTCCATGCTACTTTGAGCGCTCACCTCCAACTCCATGCCACTAACTCCACCCCACTTTGAATCTGTCTTCATCGTCACTGCACCATTTTAGGTGTTCACCCTGGACTCATGCTGCTTTGTGCTTAGTGCCCACCGCTGTTCTGCATCACTCCAGGTGCTTACCCTCCTAATCTACACTGCACAGCTATGCTGGGTGCTCAGTCTCTCACTTTCATACTTGTCCTCCCCGCACCCACCCAACCCCCTTTTTTTCTTTTTCTCTTCTCCCATCTTCATTCTCTTTCTCCTACTGCTCCCTCTTCTCTTCCACTTGTTTCACCTCCTTCTGTGAGTATCTTAGGACAGTTGGTGTGCTAAAGTTACTGTGAATCCTTAAATTCTATGATTTTGTAAGCATAGGAAGTTTTTACAGAAACTTACACCAAATAACTAAGAAAAAAGATAATTTATAAACAGTGAAGTTTTTTTTTTAAAAAAATCATGTTAATTTTTTGCCCCACCCGACTTGAAATTAACATGTCTCTTTTGAGCTAATTAAATTACACCATTGAACTAAATTACACCAATTTCATGACAGTTTAGTTTTTCTTTTCTCCCCAAGAGGTAGTTAAAGTATACACTGGACAGCAAGGAAAGCTGCACAACTTTCTATTGGAGGTCAACAAATCCTGGAGCACCGGGGAAGTACCTGAGGATTGGGAAAAGACTGATGTGGTCCCCATCTTCAAGAAAAGAAAAAAAATGGATCCAGGAAACTACAGACCAAACAGTTTAACATAATCTGGCCATCTGACCAACAGTAAAATTTGTACAGCAAGCCTACTTACCTAACTGTTTGAGATTTGGAAGCATATGTATAACAAAAAGGCGATAATCTGATTCATTTTTAACAACAGGATTCAGTCGGAAATCCAAAACTTGAAGTGCAGTTAAACTGTGAAGTTGTAGCATTTCTGATAAAGAGGAGATGTGATTGAAGTAGAGATTGAGATTTTCTAAGTATGTGAGATGTTTAAGGCCCTGTTTTAAAATATGAATAGAAGGAGTCTCCTTCAGTAACCTGTACTCTTGTAAAGTGACTAAAACAGAGTTGTGTGTAAGATCCTCCATTTCATACATTTTATAATACTTGTGCAAAAAGTGGAAAATTTACATCATGCAATTTCCCTTGAACTCCATAATCTTCTACATCTACATATAGTAGATGCCTCTGTAAAGAGGATATCTAGGATGAGAACTGGAATAATTCTTATTTCTCACTATCTCACCCTTGTCAGATATTTCAGGTAAGTAGGCTGCTAAACTATAGACCAATTTACAATGGTGCTTAAAATTCAGTGAACTCTTACTGAATTTTCAATTTTTATGTATAAATACAATCTAAAATGTGATCTATTTTCCACATAAATCCCAAAACTAAATGAAGAGAATCATATTAAACAAATTAGTCTAAAAATATTATACTTGTTCATTTATTCATTGAAGAAAATTGCTCAACTGAGCTAAATATTTTAACACATAAGGAATGCCTTTTATTTTCCACATTTTAAACATCTGCCTCAATAGTGACTTTACTATTTGTTGCAGTGTAGTTTTATTCTGCACGTCTTGAAAATCTCTATACATGTGCTTTATTATATCACAATATTTTCAACCCAAATCATTTCAGATGTATTTAATAAATTTAAAAATAAAATCCCCAAATATACAAAGGAAAATGTACAAACTCCAAAAATTTTTTACCTCCAGTGTAGTCAGTGCATTGCGTGAGAGGTCAAGAGACTTCAGATAAACAAATTTTTTCAGGGAGTTTCCTAAATGCGTAATCTTTTCATATGTTCCAGGAAGAGACAATGATCGGACATCAGCTGAAATGAAAACATTGCTAGAAATTTAATATAATGACTTACTTTTGACAGCAGTTATAAAAAGGAGGGGAGAAATCAGACCTGTACAGTGGTGTGTGTGTGTGTGTGTGTGTGTGTGTGTGTGTGTATGTGTTTAAAAGCAAGAATTATCAATAGAGAATATTTGTAGCTCAGAGTTGAATTAGGTAACATCATAATTCCTTGATTGGGATGCTGTTTATGGCAAAGTACAACTAACTCAGATAATCAAACAATGGCCTAATAAGCAATCAGGAAGAACACTCCCTCCAACACTGACAGGGCAAACCACACAATCACACACACAGAGAGAGAACAAATTCCACTCCATTCTAGCATTGATTATATACATTTCCCTGAAAATAAGCCCCACCCCCCAAAAAAGACCTATCCTGATTTCGGGAGGTGGACCTAATATAAGCCCTACTCCAAAAATAAGCCCTAATTAGGTCCCCGCCCACTGCGTCCCACCTGGCTGCTGCAATGGGGCAGGAGGCTGAGCGGCAATCGCATCACTGCCGCCACGAGGCAAGACAGGTGGGGGGAAAGGGTGGAGCTGCCCCACATGCTCCACACCCACTTTCTTCAGCCCCCCGCTCCAGCCAGGCCATTTCTTGCTCCCTTTCACTCCCCTTCCGAGCCAGACTGCCATGCTACTGTACGGAGGATAGGCATGATAGGCCTGGTCCCCCTCCACCTTTCAGAGTGGGAGGGGAATGACGTTCAAAGGCTCCACTGCCACTATGTGCTGCTGCAGGGGCTTTCTTCATGCTTTGCCCTACAGATCACCTGCCTGGCGGTAGCCACCTGCTCCTTCTCCTCCACCAATTCTCCCATGGCTTGCGCCGTGACCGGGCAGCACAAGCCTCCCTGCCGCCTCTCTCCTCCAGCCTTCTGTCGCCGCCACTGGAGAAAATGGAGAACGGGAAGCAGAGCAACTCCACAGTGATGCAGAACAAAGAAGAGCACTTGCTTGCCGCCCTGCATCACCCTGCATCTCCCTTCTCCATTCTCGAAATGGCAGACATGTTTCCTGCCACTTCTTCTCCTGAAAGCAAAAAATTTCAACACTAACCTGCTTTCCAGCTCTGGTGCACTTCTCTCCTACTGAAACTGAGTTCATGGGACTAAAAAAAGTTCAGTCAGACCTTACAACTTCTCGTGAAAAAAAAAAAGATTTCGCGAAAAGTTGGAAAGTCTGACTGAACTTTTTTTAGTCCCACTTCCGTTCTGATGCCATGACAAGACGGCCCGATTTCGTTCGGTCCGACAACCCCGAGGGGTCGGAAAGTTGCCCTGGAGGAGCAACAAAGAAGAAGGGAAGCTTCAGGAGTCTGAACCAGATGGCAGTTGGTCAAAACAGACTGAAGAAACCTTTCCAAAGGACAGAAGAAAGGCTGCCTTGTAAGCACAGGCAGTCCAAGTCATTGTCAGCTGGAAAAAAAGTGAGGGGCCGCGGTGTTCCACCAAACAGCTGATTATTAACAGTGTGCTGAAACTGGGTGAGGCTGTTTTTTGTTCCTTTTTCTTATGAACATGGAAATACTGATCCCTGATTGAGAAAAATCTGCAAAGCAAAGATCCTAGAAGGACTAGGGGAGAAGAGAGTTAAAAGCGGTGAGAAATTACAAGAGGGGGAAGGAACTTAAGGAATATAAAAGAATACTTAAAAATGGAATTTAGATTGACTTAAAGAAAAACCGTTTAATCTCCAGGACAGGGAAAAACTTTTTAGATTTAATTTTTAGGGTAAATAACTTACAAAGAACTTTAAAAGAAAACTTTGTTAAAATCTTTTAAAACCGGATATAGACAATACAGTATATAGACAATACATCTAGTGGTAAAATGAGTAATACCAAACAATAAAAAAACTTGAAAAGTGTTTGATCTTGAAACAACACCTGGTGTAAACAAAGTGCCTTTATATGACTTCGCATGAGAAAAGATTCTCTACAATTATATCTGTTGACTTTGGATATAACCAAAACAGGAATTATTTGGACACAGTGGGTGTTTTTCATCTGTTATTTGACTGGAGGATTTGAATTTAGCCTAAGGTAGTTGGGTTACTTTTATGGCTGGAATTTAGCCTAAGATAGTTGGGTTTTTTTTCTTTTTTTCCTCTTTTTTGTCTTGTTTTTTTTCTCCTTGTGGATTTGGATCTAACCTAACAGTTGGCTCCTTTCATGGTTTGGATTTTAGCCTAAGAAAGGTGGCTCATTTGTTTTCCTCATTTGATTTATTTTCCTTGTGCATTTATAAATTTACCTATTCGAAAAATGAGTGCACCAAATCTCACTAGACTTATGGAAAAAAACTTCCTCTGTATCTTCTGTTGGAACATCTAGCCCAACAAGCCAGGGAATCTATTGAAATAATGTTGCAGTGTGAGAAAATAAGCACGGCTCAAACTAAGATGCAAATCACATTAAAATTAATTCAAGAATCAATACAGAGAAATTATGAAGAAATAAAAAGTAATTTTGATAAATTAAATGAACAAATGCTGGATATAAAGACACAACTTGAAGCTCATCAGCAAATGATTGTTAAAAAATGAACAAAGAATTCAGAAAATGGAAAATAAATCAGATAATATTGACAAAAAAATGGAAGTACTAATGCAAGAAAATGAAAAATTAGAGCAAGCAAATCACTATTTAAGATTTCAAAATATTCCTGACGACAAAGAAGATATAGCAGTAGTGATTATTAATTTACTGGCAGAGATACAAATGGAGCAAGAAGTTCAAGATTTGCTGTGCCAACCACTCCCAAATGCTATCCCTCCATGAAACCATTTAACTGGCTAATTACAACATAAATGAGGCAAGAAAGAAAACCTTACAATGAGTTTTCACCCTCCCCCCATAATCTTTCCAGTTGTCTTCTGAGGCTTCACATGGAGGCCAATGGATTCAGGAGTTTTTCCTTTCGCTGCAGTTTCACTGGCATCTGGGTGATGTAGGAGTTGGGAAGATCTGTTCCACTCTAGTTGCATGGTGACTTTCCAGTGAATGGCTGGATCCAAACCCAATTCCATGAATAAATGAACGAATGAATGAATGAAGACAGTGTCTGGTTTAGTGTGCTCTGCTTCCAAAGATTGTGGAGTTGTCTATGCAGGACTGAAAGATATGAGAACAGGGTTCCCCCCCCCACCCTTTGTGGATAACTCTCCCAGAAGAGGCAATGCTGCTCAGACATGAGGAATGGAGAACAGAGGATAAGAATTTAAGAAGTGGAATAGGGTGGTGGTGCATAGCTTACAGGCAGGGTTTTTAAATACATTAAAGTTAACTTTACAGATGTTAAACAGACAGATGAAACCCACTTAAATATATACAGTAAATGCAAGAATGAAACTTTTCCTGTAATTGAACTTAAAACATTTCCTCCTGATAACCTTGGGCTATTTTTAAAAAAGTACAGAGAGGTGGAAAAAAAGAACAGTTCTCTTCACCCTGTTTTGCTGGCCAGTCAAACTAGGGTGAAGGTATTTTAACAATTTTTCCTAGCAGAATCTAAATTTTTTTTCTATAGGGATTAGAGACATTTAACAGTTAACATTCACCTAACAAAGATTTTGACGCGCACACACAAAGAGAAGGAAAAGAGGGAAGGGAAGGGAAACAGAACTCTTAGTATTACACATCCTGGTCATTCCCATTATAAATCTCAGTTAATTCAAATTAGGGAAGGCAAAAATCTTAACAAACATATCACTTGGTTGCATAGGAGAGGGAGGGAGGGAGGGAGGGAGAGGGAGAGGGAGATCACTATTCCTATATATTTTCCTTTTCTTTTAAGTATCCTTATTTAATTGGTTTTTCCTACATCATCCCTGAGTAAAGTCCATTTCTTATAAAACCTGCACACGTGCTTCTTATTCATTCCCGCTTGGACGGGCAATTTGTCCCAGCCCCAGACATCCATTGTTGTTGTTAATTGCGAAGTCATGTCCGACCCATCGCGACCCTATGGACAACGTTCCTCCAGGTCTTCCTGTCCTCTACCACCTTCTGGAGTCCATTTAAATTCACACCTACTGCTTCAGTGACTCCATCCAGCCATCTCATTCTCTGTCGTCCCCTTCTTCTATTGCCCTCAATCTTTCCCAGCATTAGGCTCTTCTCCAGTGAATCCTTCCTTCTCATTAGGTGGCCAAAGTACTTGAGTTTCAACTTCAGGATCTGGCCTTCTAAAGAGCAGTCGGGGTTGATCTCTTCTAGGACTGACCGGTTTGAACGCCTTGCAGTCCAAGGGACTCGCAGGAGTCTTCTCCAGAACCATAGTTCAAAGGCCTCAATTCTTTTGCGCTCAGCCTTTCTTATGGTCCAACTTTCACAGCCATACATTGCAACTGGGAAAACCATGGCCTGGACTATACGCACTTTTGTTGGCAGGGTGATGTCTCTGCTTTTTAGTATACTGTCTAGATTTGCCATAGCTTTCCTCCCCAGGAGCAAGCGTCGTTTAATTTCTTGGCTGCAATCCCCATCTGAGGTGATCTTGGAGCCCAGAAAAATAAAATCTGTCACTACCTCCATTTCTTCCCCATCTATTTGCCAGGAATTGAGAGGGCCGGATGCCATGATTTTGGTTTTCTTAATGTTGAGTTTCAAGCCTACTTTTGCACTCTCCTTCTTCACCCGCATCAAGAGGCTCTTTAGTTCCTCTTCACTTTCTGCCATTAGAGTGGTATCATCTGCATATCTTAGGTTGTTGATATTTCTCACGGCAATCTTAATTCCAACTTTTGATTCATCTAGCTCTGCCTTTCTCATGATGTGCTCTGCATATAAGTTAAATAGGCAGGGCGACAGTATACAGCCTTGCCGGACTCCTTTTCCAATTTTGAACCAATCAGTGGTTCCGTGTTCGGTTCTCACTGTTGCTTCTTGACCCGCATTATAGGTTTCTCAAGAGACAAATGAGATGGTCTGGTACTCCCATCTCTTTAAGAACTTGCCACAATTTGTTGTGGTCCACACAATCAAAGGCTTTTGCATAGTCAATGAAGCAGAAGTAGATGTTTTTCTGGAACTCCCTAGCTTTCTCCATTATCCAGCGTATGTTGGCAATTTGATCTCTAGTTCCTCTGCCTCTTCGAAATCCTGCCTGTACTTCTGGTAGTTCTCGATCCACATACTGCTGGAGTCTAGCTTGTACGATTTTAAGCATAACTTTACTAGCATGTGAAATGAGTGCAATGGTGTGATAGTTTGGACATTCTTTGGCATTGTCTTTCTTTGGAATGTAAACCGACCTTTTCCAATCCTGTGGCCACTGTTGAGTTTTCCAAATTTGCTGGCAAATTGAGTGTAGCACTTTTACTGCATCGTCTTTTAAGATTTTGAATAGCTCAGCTGGAATACTGTCACCTCCACTAGCTTTGTTGTTGCTCAGGTTTTCTAAGGCCCATTTCACTTCACATTCTAGGATGTCTGGTTCGAGGTCAGTGACCATCTCACTGTGGTTATCTGGAATGTTAAGCTCATTCTTGTATAGTTCTTCTGTGTAGTTTTGCCATCTCTTCTTAATCTCTTCTGCCTCTGTTAGGTCTCTGCCATTCTGGTCCTTTATCATGCCCATCTTTGCATGAAACGTTCCCTTCATATCTCCAATTTTCTTGAAGAGATCTCTGGTCCTCCCTATTCTGTTGTTTTCTTCTATTTCTTTGTACTGTTCATTTAAGAAGGCATTCTTATCTCTTCTAGCTACTCTCTGGAATTCTGCATTCAGTTGGGTGTATCTTTCTCTTTCTCCTTTGCCTTTCGCTTCCCTTCTTTCCTCAGCTATTTGCAAAGCTTTCTCAGACAGCCATTTTGCTTTCTTGCATTTCTTTTTCTTTGGGATGGTTTTAGTTGCTACCTCTTGTACAATGTTGCGAACTTCCATCCATAGTTCTTCAGGCACTCTGTCTATCAGATCTAATTTCTTAAATCTATTTGTCACCTCTACTGTATATTCATCAGGAATATGATTTAGTTCATACCTGAGTGGCCTAGTGCTTTTCCCTACTTTTTTCAATTTAAGCCTAAATTTTGCAACAAG